CCCCAAAACCCCAAAACCCCAAAACCCCAAAACCCCTTCTCTTTATTCACTATTGAATCATGAAATAATTTTATGTCTTTAAATTACTCTTGATGAAAATTTGTAATTGCTTGAAAGAGAGTCTGCTTTAGGATTCACCACCAATCCTCCCAAGTACTTCACTGAGTTTGGTGGAATCACCACTGTAGCAACTCCACTTGTAGGAGTATATTCTCAATTTTGAGAATTAGTCATGTCAAGAGTAACAGCAACATTACTCTGACTTTTATTTATAGCTCCAATTGAGTTCCCGTATCATTTTTCATGGAATTTTCTAAAAATAATAACATTCTCATCTTCTTTGGCATTCTTTGCTCCTTGATTTTCGAGATATTTTGACATTATAAGATCAGCAGCTTTCTCATTAATGTCACATTTTACTGCATTTCCAATTTTCACTCTAATTTCTTCAGTGGAATGGAAAGTGATCACAAAAACTCTTGATTTTGTTGACTGCAAGCTTTTATCATAGCCTAACCTCCTCAGCATCCTTGATACTTCACTTTCAGAATATTTTCCCATTAATTGGTAGAATCCATATCTTGTTATTCCATCTTCAACATGTGAAATATTTTCAAATTCAGGCCCATCAAAAGATTCAGGAGTAACATGTTTAAATAAATCAGAGTCAGTAATATGGCCAAATAGATTTAGCTCCCTAGCAGTAAGTATTCCATCAAGCCTCAAATCAATTTTTCTGAACACATCAGAGAAGGTAGAAACTACTTTTGCATTCCACATTTTCCCCTCCTCAGTAGAGGATTTTAAAGGAACTTCTTCAGAATTAAAGCTAAAAGCTTTTAGCAATGAACCTATGGTTCGAGGAACTACAATATAATTCCCTGCTTCTAGATGGAATGAATCTTCTGAATCTCTTTCAGTCACTAAATCTGAAATACCAACAACTTTAAGTTGCTTATTTTCTTCTTTCTTCAAGATTACATATCAGATATCTAAATATGGTCGTTTATCAGCTCCAAGTATTCTCTCATCTTCTTGGTGAAGTCCAATTTCAACTGTTGCATCATTGTCCAATGAAAAGGTATAGAAGAATTGACTGATTACCCAATCTGGTTCTCCTCTACTATCCTCTATTGCTCTGATAAATTTTCCTTTCAACCTTAATTCGTGCCAATTTTGTATTTTACAAATTGTGATTGAAGTGAAATACTTAAAGAAATCTTCATAAGACATCCAAAATGTACCATCTTTAGAATTAAAATCAGGCTCAAAAGCATCAATCATTTCCTGAGTCCAGTTATGATGATCATGGTCACTCCATTTTCCTCCCCATTCGAATTGTCCCCAAGGATTTCTGATTTGAAGCAATTTCAAGCCATTATACTCCTTAGCTGCAATAACCGAGTATGCGTGACCTGGAACTATTCCTGTCTCTTGGTTTGGACTTTCTCCTTCAGTCCAAATATCAACTCCAGGAGTCCCTGCGCACATGATGTGGCCTTTTTTGTCAGACTCTTGCAAAACCTTCCATAATTTGTCAGAATAAGCTAAAATTTTATCAAGTATTAGTCTTTCTGAACCGAATGAGTATTTACTAGTGGGTCATCCTGAAAGATCCATCATCCCATGGGCCAAAAAACCTGCCCTTAATTGGTAATAGTTCCCATGAAGCTTAGCATAAGCTTTTTCTAAAAGCATAGCCCAAAGTTCATTCCCTGTTGGAGATCAAAAGATTGGGCCTCCGTTTAAGTAGCAGGGAATGTAATCATCGATTGTGACAACAACCCACTCTCCATTTTTACAAATTCTTAACTGGTAGATCCCGTATTCGTTATATTCCTGGTGTAGAAACAATCTTTTTATCATTGCTGGGGATTCAGCAAGTGAAGCCATAGCTGCTAGGAACCAGCAATCTCCTAGAGCACCTTGGTTAATATCGTTAGGCTCTGGATCATCATAGAATAGGTGAGGCCTTCCATCCATAAACTCAATTGGTCTTTTCCAGACTGGAGCTTCATCAAGTGGGAATTCATCAATGTTAGTGACATCATAAATACTTGTGTTATCAGGTGGAAAGGAAGGGTCTATATAATTTTCATAACCAACATCTTCAAGGAAGCCTTCTATGCTCGGAACATCCATAATCTCAAAAGGTATCTTTATCATGTTTTCTCTTATGTGTTCAACTCTTTCTTTTAAATTTGCTACATCTCTCGAAGCATACTTCCTATGGTCTTGAAGCTGGTATTCTTCTTGTACATTGAGCCCAAATTTAAAGCAATATGGAGGTTCTTTGCGGATTTCGAATAAGGTTTTTCTTTCCATTGGATCTGCAGACTCTGTAACGACATCATCAGTATCATATCCAACTAAAGGTTAAATATTGGTTTTACCGATAACAACTCCAGTAGATTGACTTATATCTAAAGTTATGAAAATTCTTGATGAGTTTCTGTGGTCGATCTCCCATTCTTCATCATACTCTCCAACAGGAATTCTAGTTATTATAGATCCTGTCTTTAACTGAATGGTTTTAGGTTCCATTTCTTTAAATAAAATTTAGTTCTTTTATTTATTAGTTCAACCCTTTTTACAAACAAAGGGGTTTTGGGGTTTTGGGGTTTTGGGGTTTTGGGG